TTTCTGTGAACAATAACTTCAGGGTCTTTATTCAGAACCTATGGTTAGTTTGATTTAATATTACAGACATGTTTTCCACATTTTTCATTACAATTGCAAAATAAACTCCATAAAATATGGGGAGACTGTTTATAAATCCCATTATTAATCATGGAAAGATATATAAACAGGCAAATTTGAGGGTTCTGTATAAGTGAACTCTATAAGGTCAGTTTTTTATGAACTAAATGGTCCTGAAGGAAAAAGTCATCCAAAGTCAATTCCGTTTTTAGGACTAAAACCAAGGAGATCAATTTATCTTTGTATTTAAGATCTAGCCTCTGTCTAATGGGCAGTGGGCTTGGCAGAATATTCAATGATCTCACTAAGAGCCTGTGTAACGTAATGACATTAGATTGTGTATTTATGTTAGATAATACCCCTGAAGCATAACACAATGCATCCTGACCTAATTCCGTTTGTAAAACCAAAACTCATTCAATAGCCTCATAAAATAATGACAAACAATGTAATACTTTTGAATAATACAAAATAGGAACATGGACATTCATGCATTCATTCATCTGTTCAATATATTGAACATCTCCACCTCAGTAGCTACTGTAAGGGACATAATGACAAATTACATACGATCATTTCCTTTGGAAATCTACGATCTAAGAGGGAGACAAGATATGGACACATAGTTAAAATGTGAGGAGTGAGGTGAGAAATAGTATAAAAATGGTGCTATGAAATGTTTGTTATAGGACTTCAGAGGAAGGTGATATCATGTTTGGAGATGGTGTCCAGGAAAGGCTTCATGAAATAGATGCTATTTGACCTGTTTGGAAGTGTGGATAGGATTTCAGCAGAAAAGAGAGAGATTCAACTGAAGAGGGAGTGGTATGGAAGCGGGATGTCACAGGCTGGTTTGGGGAATGCCAAATAGGCCAGTTTGACTAATGCATAGATCACGTGTAAGGGAGTGAAAAGCAAAGCTGGGTCAGATGGTAGGGAGGTTATGCAGGGCCCTCAAGGTCAGCCTAGTGGGGTGATAGAACCACTGAAGGTTTTTCTCAGGGAAGGGATACAATCTACCTCTTCCCTTAAGAACTTAGTAGGATAGGTTGGAAGGAAGAGATTGAAGACTGGAATTCCATTTAGGAGGCTCTTTTAGCACTCCAGGCATTAGCTTGTGAAGGAGGAGTGGAGAGAAGGAAGTTAACATTTATTAAGAGCACACCGTGTGTAAGGCATTTAACTGATTTAGCTATAATATTTCATTTAATTCTTGCAACAACTCTGAAAGGTAAATAACATTAACTCCAGTGTTCAGTTGAGGAAATTAAGGCTCAAAGAGATCTATTTGCCTCAAGTCACTGAGTTAGTAAAATAAAAATGGGGAGGGGAACAGGAGTCAGCAGCTGAGACTTCAATGTCCATGTTATCTGCACTATACCATGTTGATAAAGGGCCTTCTTTTCATAAGCTCCCTGCTATTCAGGATTGGCAGTTCAATATTTTAGCTGTGCCTCTGGTACAGACCTAGAGATAATCACATATAGCAGGAGAATGATTCTGACAACAGAGAGGTTCTCCTTGAAAGCTGAAATTAGGGAGACTCTTCTACCCCAAAACAACCACAAAAATTTCCCTGCTAGACTGAGAGCTTCTTATGAGTGGAGAGTGTCTTACTTGTATCTGAATCCCCAGGAGCAAGCCCAGGGTCTAGCACTGCAAGTGCTCACAAAAAGAGCTGTCGTATTGAATCAAACCTGTGATTCATGCAACATATTTTCCATTCTCAACAGAAGCTCCAAGGAAACGAAATAGTTTGCATGGTTCTAAGATTACAACTTAGAGAGTTATTTTCACAGATGAGGCTCACCTCAACCCCTGGGACAAATTCTGCTCCTAGTCAGGGGAATTCAATGATTGAACCAGGAGCTCAGCAGCATGGCAACTTTCTGCCAGTCCTGCTCTGTTCCTTCATCCCAGTTGTCGATTCCAGGTGTTTCTTCTCACCACTAGGATCGAGCTCTCCCTTTCAACTTATAGTAGGTGCAACCCTATCTTGCTTCTTGGACTAGTATCCCAGGCTTTGAACTCCGCCCACATCTCAGTTCCTATTTCTCCAACAAGATTTGAAATATAGCAGGACCTCTCTGATACCAACTCTTTGCTGTTGAAATCTGCTGGGTTTCCTTCATGTAGTGCTTTGCTTATGTGCCAAGTCCACTGTCTAGGCCACCGGGACTGTCCAGATCTCCTGGACTACTCCAGCTGGTCTGTAGAGTCATCAGACCCCAGCTCTCTCTGGTCTAGCCTGTGCTTCTGCTTGATGAAAAGAGTTTTGACAATGGTCATCACAGGAGTCGTAGTAGTACTCATACTTACATAGTGCTTGCTATGTGCCAGGCATTGTTCTGTGTGTCTTACAAATATTAATTCCTGTAATCAACACATTATTAATAGCCTCATTTTATTGATTAAAAAAGCAAAATAAAAAACCTGAGGCTGAGGGATTAAGTCACTTGTCTAAAGTGACAAAGTTTGCAAATGGCAGAGCCAGAATTTGAACCCAGGCATTCTGGCTACAGTTCATTCTCTTAACCACTATATTCTCCTGCCCTTCCAACACCAGTGAGAAGATGAAGAACACATCACTGGTGAATGTACTTACCACCGTAAATGCCCTATTTAATACAACTAACATAATACTACTACTAGTTTAGTTATCAGACTTATGCTAATAAATGTATTAACATGTAACTATAAGTCTGAACCCAAAATCAGAAAGAAGCCCTTACATGATGCTGAGACATTGATATATGAGTATTTTCATTTTGATTGAAAATACTACAGGGGCTGGCCCAGTGGCGCAGTGGTTAAGGTTGCACATTCAGCTTCAGCAGCCCAGGGTTCACTGGTTTGGATCCTGGGAGTGGACCTACTCACTGCTCATCAAGCCATGCTGAGGTGGCGTCCCACACAGAGCAACTAGAAGGATGTACGACTATGACATACAACTATCTACTGGGGCTTTGGGGAGAAAAAAGGAAAAATGGAGGAAGATTGGCAACAGATGTTAGCTCAGGGCCAATCTTCCTCAAAAAAAAAGAAAAAAAGAAAAGACTACAGATGTTGTGCATTTAGGCAAGTCTAATAAGACAGTAGGAGTCAAAGATAATCCTACTTAGCAAAAATAACCCAAGAATACTGGTAGAGAAGATAATCATGAATATGACCTTGATAGGATGAGAAACAAATTTGAGGATTTAAGAATCAAAGTGGATTTGCTAAGAAAGTAGATCTTAAAAGTTCTCATCACAGGGAAAAAAAAAGAATCAAAGAAGATCAAAAAATCAAAGAATCAAGGAATCAAAAAAGAATCAACGAGTTGACATTTTGGCACATTGGACAGTTCTGTACACACTAGTTCACTTGACAAAATGATGACACATTTCATTGTTATCAATTCAGAAGGTGAACATCTGATTAAATATATTATAATAAGAAATTTAAAAAAGAATTAAATAAGAATATAATAATACCTATGTTAATGTGTATCTTGGACTCATATACTTGTTAAGTATAGAGCAGTCATTAAAAAAAAATTGGTGAATATCTCTGTGTATCAGGGGCTAGAGATAAGTGATCAAGACATACAAGAAGATTATTTTCTAATGGTTGAGAGAGAAAGACCATAAGAAAGTAAGTAAATAAATGCACAGGAAAATTCTGAATAGTGATAAGAGCTATGAAGAAAGTAAAACAAGGTAATGTAATACAGAATAAATTAGTGGTAGTGAGCTGGCCAGGATATGACATGTGAGCTGGTACCTGACTCAAAAAGATGGGGAGCAGAGCAAGAGAAATGATCCTGAAGTGGTATGCTCAAGGAGAAAAAGGAAGCTGGTGTGGCTGGAGCATAGTGAGAAATGGGGAGACTGGCATGAGATCAAGTCCCAGAGGTAGGCAGGGCACAGGTTATAGGTCCTTGTAGGCCACAGCAAGATATTTGAATTTTGTTCTAAGAGGAAGTCACTATCAGATTTTAAGTTAGGGGAGTCATGTGACCTGATCTCCATTTTTAAAAGATCACTTTAGCTGCTATTTGGAAGATGCATTACAGGGAGTCAGGAATGGAATTACAGAGACCAATTAGGAAGCTACTGTAGTACAGAACAGATGATGGCTTGGACTCAAGTTGTACCAGAAGAAACAGAGAGAAGCAGATGGAATAGGGAGATATTTTGGAGGTAGAACTGACAGGATTTGTGGATGAATTAGATGTGGGGAGATAGAGAAAGACAGCAATCAGGAATGACTCCTAGGATGGTTGAGTGGATGGTTGTGTGATCTAATAATAGATGGAAGACTAAGGGAAAAACAAATTTTAAGAGAAATTCATATCCATAGAATATTAATACATAGAATGATAATATAGTAATATCCCCAATGACATTTACATTAAACTCAGGGGACTGACAAGAAATAAACTTTCACAAAGTCATATGGAATATGATCACTGGTTAGACGGTTTTCCTGTCAGCCTACCTCAAGCCCCAAGACCATTTTCAGCTCTGGAAACAAAATGAAAACTGAGTCATACATTCTGGCCTTATGTGGACATATTTTATTTCACAGAGCACTTCTAGAAATGCTGTGTGAACACATGGTAGGTACTCAAAAAACGTGTGGTGAACTGAATGACACCTGTTTGTCCCATTACAGTCAGAGACCATGTAACCTACCTACAACAAGACTAAGAGTAGAATTGAGAACTCTCAAAATTGGCATGTTCCATGAATCTGAATTACACTATTCACATATTTTAAAATTTCTATCTTGTCTGTGTGTGAGTATACGTATGTGTTTATGCATATATACATATGTGTGTACTTCTCTCTAACACAATTGATGGGAAAAATAAGTATGCTCCAAATATTTTTCCTAGTATATAATCAGTGCTTTCCCACAATGTTTTTATTTTAAAATGAATAGCCATTACATACCTGTAGCATATCACCAAGGTCTGCTGTGCTAATATCTGGATCTTCTGTGGTGTTGAAGGGCACAGGAGTTATTCTTACAAGGGTGAGCACTCTCGGTTCTGGATATCTCCATAACATCATCCCTGGGCTATCTTCAGTTTCATTGTAAAACAAGACTTCATAGACACCAGGCATTTTCAAAGGTTCTGTTAAATGAAATTAATTAATTGTATGCTTTTGAAGGAGAACATGTTCTTTATTACAATAAGAAAAACTTATGAGGATAAAAGAAAAGAATATAAAGAAGCTGATCATTTTTATATGGTTTGAGACAAGAACAAATCAAGAATTTTTCCTTAAGAGACTGAACGGTAATGTATTTTTTTTTTTTTATTGAGGTAACATTGGTTTATAACATCATATAGATAGTTCTTTGGTGGATTCTTGAGGGTTTTCCACCTATAAAATCATGTCATCTGCAAATAGTGACAGTTTTATTTCTTCTTTTCCAATCTGGATGCCTTTTATTCTTTTTCTTGCCTAACCCATCTGGCCAAAACTTCCAGTACTATGTTGAATAAGTGTGTTTAGAGTGGGCATCCTTGTTTTCTTCTTGTTCTTAGAGGGATAGCTTTCAGTTTTTCACCATTGAGTATGATGTTAGCTGTAGGTTTGTCATAAATGGCCTTTACTATGTTGAGGTACTTTATTTCTATAACCATTACATTCAGAGTTTTGATCATAAATGGCTGCTGAATCTTGCCAAATGCTTTCTCTGCATCTATTGAGATAATCATACGATTTTTATTCTCCATTTTGTTAATGTGGCATATCATATTGATTAATTTGCAGATGATGAACCATCCTTGCATCACTGGGATAAATCCCACTTGATCATGGTATATGATCCTTTTAATGAATTGTTGTATTCAGTTTGCTAATATTTTGTTGAGGATTTTTGCATGTATTTTATCAGTAACATTGGACTGTAATTTTCTTTTTGTGTGTTGTCCTTGTCTGGTTTTGGTAATAGATAATGTTGGCCTCATAAAATGAGTTAGAAAGCACCCTCTACTCTTTAAATTTTTGGAAGAGTTTGAGAAGAATAGGTATTAGATCTTCTTTGAATGTTTGGTAGAATTTGTCAGACAAGCTGTCTGGTCCTGGGCTTTTGTTTTTTCGGAGGTTTTTGATTACTGTTTCAATCTCCTTACTAATGATCAGTCTATTAAGAGTCTCTATTTCTTTTTGATTTAGTTTTAGAAAGTTGTATGATTTTAAGAATTTATCCATCTTTTTCTAGGTTATCCAATTTGTTGGTGTATACCTTTTCATAGTAGTCTCTTATAATCCTTTGCATTTCTATGGTATCTGTTGTAATTTCTCCTCTTTTGTTTTTGATTTTATTTATTTGAGTCTCTTTTTTTCTTAGTGAATCTAGCTAAATGTTTGTCAATTTTATCATTTCAAAGAACCAGCTCTTAGTTTCATTGATCTTTTCTTTTTTTTTGTGAGGAGGACCAGCCCTGAGCTAACATCCAATGCCAATCCTCCTGTTTTTTGCTGAGGAAGACTGGCCCTGGGCTAACATCTGTGCCCATCTTCCTCTACTTTATATGGGATGCCACCACAGCATGGCTTAACAAGAGGTGCATCGGTGTGCACCCGGGATCCGAACCAGCGAATCTCGGGCCGCCGCAGCGGAGCGCACACAATTAACCGCTTGCGCCACCGGGCCGGCCCCCATTAATCTTTTCTATTGTCTTTTTAGTCTCTATTTAATTTATTTCTGCTCTGGTTTTTATTATTTCCTTCCTTCTATTGACTTTGGGCTTCATTTGTTCTTTTTCTAAATTTTACATGTAATGTTAGATTGTTTATTTGAGATTTTTCTTATTTCTTAAGGTAGGCCTGTATTGCTATATACTTCCCTTATAGTACCACTTCAGCTGCATCCCACAGATTTTGGTATGTTGTATTTTCATTTGTCACCAGGTATCTTTGTGATTTCTCCTTTGATTTATTCGTTGACCCAACAGTTGTTTGGTAGTATGTCATTTAGTCTCCAAATATTTGTGACTTTTCCAGGTTTCTTCTTATAGCTGAATTCTAGTTTTACACCGTGGTGGTCAGAAAAGATGCTTACTACAATTTCAATCTTAAATTTATTGAGACTTGTTTCATGGCTTAACGTGATCTATCCTGGAGAACGTTCCATGTGTGCTTGAAAAGAATATGTATTCTGCAGTTTTTGAATGGAATGTTCTGTATATATCTATTAAATCTATCTAGTCTAATGTCTTGTTTAAGGCCATTGTTTCTCTGTGGATTTTCTGTCTGGATGATCTATCCATTGATGTAAGTGGGGTATTAACGTTCCCTACTATTATTGTATTACTGTCAATTTCTCCCTTTATGTCTGTTAATATTTGCTTTATGCATTTGGGTGCCCCTATGTTAGCTGCATAAATATTTATGAATGCCAAGTCCTTTTTTTGGATTGACCACTTTATCATTATGTAATGCTCTTCTTTGTCTTTTGTTACAGTCTTTGTTTTAAAGTCTATATGCCTGATATGAGTATTGCTCCCCCAGCTTTTGTTTCCATTTTCATGGAATACATTTTTCTGTCCCTTCACTTTCAGTCTCTGTGTGCCTTTAGATTTGAAATGAGTCTCTCATAGGCAGCATATAGATGGTCTTGTTTTTTAATCCCTTCAGCAACCCTATTTCTTTTGTTTGAAGCATTTAGTCTATTTACATTTAAAGTAATTATTTATAGATATGTGCTTATCGGCATTTTGTCAGTTGTTTTCTGGGTTTTTTTTGTAGTTCTCTGTTCTTTCTTTTTTTCTTGATCTCTTCCCTTGGGGTTTGGTGGTTTTCTTTAGTGTTATATTTGTGTTCCTTTCTTTATTTTTTGTGTATTGTAAGTTTTTGGTTTGTGGTTACCATGAGGTACATATATATTGACCTATAAATATGGAAGTCTATTTTAAAGTGATAGTCGCTTAACTTCAAATGCATTCTAAAAGCACTACATTTTTACTCCTTGCTCCCACATTTTATGTTTTTGATTCATATTTTACATTTTTATTTTGTGTATCTCTTAACTTCTTATTGTAGTTATAGTTGATTTTACTACTTTTGTCTTTTAACCTTCATACTAGCTTTTTTTTTTTTTGTGAGGAAGATCAGCCCTGAGCTAACATCTGCCAATCTTCCTCTTCTTTTACTGAGGAAGACTGGCCCAGTGCCAACATCTGTGACCATCTTTCTCCACTCCACATGGGACGCTGCCATAGCATGGCTTGACAAGCGGTGCATCGGTGCGTGCCCGAGATCCGAACTGGCGAATTCCAGGCTGCTGCAGCGGAGCACGTGCACCCAACCGCTTGCGCCACCAGGCTGGCCCCATACTAGCTTTTTAAGGGCTGATCTATTGCCTTTACTAAATATTTGCCTTACCAGGGAGATTTTTTTTCTTTCATATGTTTTCTTATTTCTAGTTATGGCCTTTTCTTTTCCACTTAAGAAAGACCCTTTAACATTTCTTTTAAGGCTGGTTTAGTGGTGATGAACTCCTTTAGTTTTTGCTTGTCTGGGAAACTCTTTCTCTCCTTAAATTCTGAATGATAACCTTGACAGGTAGAGTATTCTTGGTTGTAAGTTTTTTCCTTTCAGCACTTTAAATATATCATGCCACTGCCTTCTGGCCTGCAAAGTTTCTGCTGAAAAATCAGCTGATAGTCTTATGGTGGTTCCTTTGTATGTGACTTGTTGTTTTTCTCTTGCTGCCTTTAAGATTCTCTATTTATCTTTAACTTTCGCCGTTTTAATTATAATATATCTTGGTGTGGATCTCTTTAAGTTTATCTTGTTTGGGACTCTCTGTGCTTCCTGGACCTGGATGTCTGTTTCCTTCCCCAGGTTAGGGACGTTTTCAGCCATTATTTCTTCAAATAAGTTTTCTGCCCCTTTCTCTCTCTCTTCTTCTTCTGGGACACTTATAATGCTAACATTAGTATGCTTGATGTTGTCCCACAGGTCCCTTAAAATGTCCTCATTTTTTAAAATTCTTTTTTCTTTTTGCTCTTGTGACTGCGTGATTTCCACTATTTTGTCTTCCAGATTGCCAATCCGTTCTTCATCATCTAATCAGCTGTTAATTCCTTTTAGTATATTTTTTATTTCAGTTATTGTATTCTTCAGCTCTGATTGGTTCTTTCTTATATTTTCTAATTCTTTGTTGAAATTCTGTGTTCCTCCATTCTTCTCCCAAAGAACAGCTGTAGCTGGAGTGGGGTCCCAGCCAGGGAGTCCCAGACTGCTTGATGCCTGGGGATGCCCTAGCAGTGCAACTGGAGTGGGGCACTGGCTGGGGATTCCCAGGCCCCTCGGTGGCTGGGGGTGCCCTGGCGGGAGCGTGGAGCTGGAGTAGGGCACCGGCTGGGGAATATGCCTGGGGGTGTGCTGGGGCAGCCTTAGCAGGCTGGCAGCATCTGAACCATGCTCCCATCCTTGCTGTCAAGGTGGTGGGGGGATGCAAAGAATGGCGCTCACCAGCACTTCACTCCAGAGAGAGTTCTAGCAGCTACCTGCTCATTCAACTAATGCTCTAGGGTTAGTAAATTGATTTCCTTTCTGTAGAGTCTAGGTGCCCTTTAAATCACAGGTTTTTCACTGTGCCTCAGGGCAGGCAAGCTTGGGCACAGCCCCTCAATGTTATCCCTCCCTGCAGCAGGTCATCAGCATTGGGGATGGGGGTCCCCTCAATACCGTGTTTCCATCTCTCTTCCATTTCTCCATTTCTATGTGGCTCTCTATGTGCAGAACCAGTTTAATCAACCCTCAGTTCTTCTTCAGGAGGATGTGCTCTATATGTAGGTATAGACTTGCTGTGTTCGCGAAAGGAGGTGAGTTTGGGGTCTTCCTATGTGGGCATCTTGCACCCTCCAATAATGAACTATTTTTGTACTGCAGGTATTAATGTATTTTTCAAGTGATCTTGATGTGCTATCATTTAGCGACTGTGCAGTTAAAACAAACAAACACACGTACACACATTCATACTGAAGCTGTTGCTACTTACCAGCATCTTGTATATACTGAAATAGACCTGTCCGCAGGTCATCTGAGCTTTGTTCACTTTTAAACATCAGATTCTTTTCCATAGGAGATGGCATTTGTGGCACTGCCTCAGAAACTTGCTCTTCAAAGTTTCCCTCCTCGTTAAGGTATCCAATGAGTAATTCATGTAGAAGAACTAAACAATTCAAATGTTCTTGACCCCAGAAAACCTTTAAAATCATATGAAAAATTTTAGTGGCTTTAAAATATAAACATTTCATGAGGATAATTAGGTACACTCATTTGAATTAATGCAAGACTGTAATTATGTTCAGTTTACTGACAATAACTAAATTATAATTTCTAAGAAGTAATTGGCCTATGGGATAAAATTCTATTACTTGAGTAAATACACAAAAACAAAAAAATCAATTACATCATAGACTGTGTGAATAACAATCCATTTTGTGTGTGTGTGAGGAAGATTAGCCTGAGCTAACATCTGATGCCAATCCTCCTCTTTTTTTGTTGAAGAAGATTGGCCCTGTGCTAACATCCATGCCCATCTTCCTCTACGTTATATGGGACGCTGCTGCAGCATGGCTTGACAAGCGGTGTGTCAGTCTGTGCCTGGGATCTGAACCTGCGAACCCCAGGCCGCTGAAGCAGAGCACGTGAACTTAACGGCTACGCCACTGGGCTGGCCCCCAAACATTCCATTTTAAATGCCGAATTAATGATGAAATTATGTTGATGTGAAGTAATATTAATGAATAACTTAGCTAAGAGGGAAAAGAACACCTATTACAGTCTGAGAGAAGGCAATGAAGATCCTCCAGGCCAAAATGTTAATAAAATAATAATAATCAAGGCAACGAAGAAGTGAAACTCTCACTATTTGCAGATGACATGATTTTATATATAGAAAACCCTAAAGAATCCGTTGGAAAACTATTAGAAATAATCAACTACTACAGCAAAGACACAGGGTATAAAATCAATCTACAAAACTCAGTTGCATTTCTGTATGCTAATAACGAACTAAC